TGATCATTACAACATCACTTTAAAGAGCACATTATCAGCCAAACAGTGTTGCTTATGCATGTATTTTTATTTAACGCTCTAACGGGAAGTAAGTGAAAGAGCTGTTTGATTTTTTACAGAAACTACGGCAGTGTGTCTGAGTGCGTGTGTTGACGGAAGACTGGAAGAAAAAAGGGGGAATTAGAGATAAAGAGTTAACGGAAGATTGGAAGAGAGGGAGGGTGGAGAATAGAGATAAAGATTGGTTGCAAGGGCATAAAGAGAAATAAACGAGTGGGTGTATGAGAAATAAGGAATGGTAGAAAGGTGGAAGAGAATAAAGAGAGGTAAAAGAGTAAATACCCAAAGGGAGCTGTACGTAGTGTGTAAGAAAAGGTTCGATGAAGTCTGTTCAGTCTCCTTCGGTTTAAGACTGGGAGAGCGATGAAGTCCTGGTGAAGTTGCAGAGAACGTGAGGGAAAGCTTCCATGTACCTTTCTATGAAGTGCCTAAAGAGACTAAGCTTAAGCAAGAGGAAGTTAGATTAGAGAGCTGAATGTCCGAAGAAATAGATTTGCTTAATATACCCTTTTAACTGTCCTACAAGGCCTGTGCTACTGTTCGGTTAAATGTTTGCTTCGTACTGAGTAAAACCCTTGAGATATATACAAAAAAGGTGTGTCGGTGTAGAATTTGTGTTTGTGTTTATGTCCTACTGTTCAAGGATTCACTTGAATGTTTCTATATGTACTCATTACATGCAAGCACCATCAAATTCATATCTTATAGAAAACGCACACCTCCATGTCTTTCTGCCGGTATATACAAGGCTTCACACACACCTACTTTAAACCAGAAATTGGGTCCCAAAACCTAGACATATTTGTCTCCCTATACCACACCCTATTTCTTATCTCTCCTTAGATAATCTGAATTCTTATCGCATTGAAGAATCTTCGACAATCTCGCAGACTGAACTTAAGGATACCCGTCCTTCCTTAATGAAACATCAAAATTAAGAGTTTGTGATTGAGAAACAGCCATGGATGGAGGAGCGCTAAGGGATCGCTAGACACTCGAACCACTGGACTTCTTGAACACGGATTTTCGGACGTTTTGGTCACTGGCTTTTCATATAGACTGTAGGAAGACCCGTGTATGAAAATGATCCATTTAATACATCTACTTAATCCCGAACTTTATAACTCGTCTATATGTATTTTAGTTTGAGCTATCTTCACACCTTGAAATCTTTCTGTTGTTGTTATATTGTCTTTAATTTACGTTCCTCTTGTATTTCTTTCTTTACCTGAAGATACATAAAACAGGGATAAATGTACATTGCTTTACAAAGCAGAAAACTATACCTGAGGTAATGTTTACGCTGTTATTAAAGATTTTTTTCCAATCGATCTTAGCCAGTTGAGTCCGGATGCCAAGAGTCCAGCATTCGAGTAAAGTGAATACGTTCTAGGCGTCACCTTGCGCCATTGAGGACGGTTAAGCTCTGTGTACCAAACGATAACTATGCCATCACAGCTTATTTTGCTGTCTTTGAAATCACGTTTCGAGAAAGAAAGCTGTGTTTGTTTTAGCTAGTTTCTTTGTTTGTAATGTATTTCCTCTCCTTGTGATTGATACACTCGTTTTAGTATCACATCCTTCAACAAAACAAGTAGCGGGAACTGCAACAGGTATAGCTATGCGTGGGCGGTCCAGCGATCATGGAATTCCTGGAATACAACACATCCAGACTAGTTTTCTCTCTCATACGAAGTACTCTGGTTCAGCAAATGGACCTTGTCATTCGTCGGCCGCTAAACTGCGAATTTGAAATGGAAATGGAGAGCCGATATAGCATGACACATGATGCTACATTCTGGATACGAGAAGCCTTGGGATTAAGGGCTTCAGATATATTTTCATAAGTACTCTAGACTGGAGGCACACACACACACACACACACACACACACACACACACACACACACACACACACACACACACACACACACACACACACACACACACACACACACATATACATTTGCATATGTATGAATACACATCCATGCATATGCATACATATACACATTTACAAGCTACGAAAACTCTCCAGTGTCATAGGCACTTACAACGCATATCATACATCCAAATATACAAGACATATTCACTTAAATTATCATCAGTATAGCCAATAGATATTAGCCTTAAGTACTTCTTGAATTCATACATATGCACATATCCACACACACATACACACACACACACACACACACACACACACACACACACACACACACACACACACACACACACACACACACACACACACACACATATATATATGCATATGTGTATGTACATGTCTTACATATATTCTGTATTAGACCTCCTTACATTACTACAGTATCCCTTTTTTCTGACATAATATTTTCATTAAAATATCTCATAGTAAACAATGTGTTTGCCTTATTCTTTAATCAAAAAATAAATATGTGTCTCTGTACACCCGCGGGGAG